CTCGGGGAGGCGGCTCGTGCGCGCGAGAAAGGCCGCGAGGGCTGCGCGTCCGGGGGACATTACGAGCGGATAGGAGGGACCGGAGGGGTTTCGGGAAGCGGGATTTCGGGAGAGCTCCCGCCACAGCTCGGTGCTTCCTGCTGCTCTCCCGGCTCTTGCTGGAGCATCAGGGAACAGCCCTGAGATGGGGTGGACGTCGTAGCTGTTCCTCATCCCTCCCTTGCTCTGCCGGGCGCAGGGTTAGCTCCGTGTGCAGGAGGAGGATGACTTCAAATAGCGAAGGGTTGTGTGTCAAAGAGCTGCAGATTTGCGTCTTGGCTCAGGCTGTTTCAGAAACAGGCTCAAGTTTGCATGTTTTGCGCTGGACTCTGCTTGTTTTCCCCCTCTTCCGGGAGCGCTTGATTTTGGGAATCTGCCTCGTCTCTCTCTTTAGTGTCGGCCTCTAATACAAACCTTTTGTGCAAACGGATCTTCCGTGAAAGAAAAGCTTGAAGTTGCTCCGGTCGCTCTCCGGGTGCTCGGACAGAATTCCCTCATGGAAGCACGTGCCTGATGCCAGCGGTATGTGCAGCCCCGTGTCCCAGGCACGAGCCCCTTCTGAGCAGCCTCAACTCACTTTCCTTATCAGCATTTTAGTGGCTTTTGTATTCAGAGCAAGCAGGGCTTTACTTCTGGTAACACAGTAACCGCACATGGAAACATCTACTAAATCTTTGTTAATGGGAGTAGAAAATGTTAGACTCTTTATGCATTTTCAACTTAAGAGATTCTCCTTTTCTCTTGGTCCCAAAACTCTAAGGGGACATTTCAAGGATGAATTATCATTTTTTACCATATCTTACAATATTTGATTAATTTTACACCAAGCCAATACAAGGCTACGAGTAATTTACACCGAACCCTCACCTTCGTTTGCTCATTACTTAATAAGCAACGCAATGGTCGCAGCATTTAAATATCCTTGCAAGACCTTTTGGAGGTCAGGGAAACGGTAGCTAACGACAGGACATAAATATATAGGCTTTAATACACATGGCACATGGTACAGACACACGACACAGACCGCCCTGCTTCCAGCAGAGCCTGAGCAACCCTCTCGAGGTCTGGAGATGTTGCCTGGTGGCCCGGGGGTTTGTGTCACCTCTTAGCAGCAGGTCCCTGTAGTGATAAGAATTTCCTGTGCTGACTGCGAACGAGGACGACCAGTGGCAGGGGCTGCGTTGGGTAGTGAAGGCTGGAGGCTTCTTTCTCTCCTTGGCTCCGTGGGTGCTTGGGCAAGAAGTTATGGAAACTCAGCGCTGCTGTGAGGACATCCATGGGCAGCAGTTGCCCCTTTGCCCGTTTTGGATTTGCTTGAAAACCGGGAACAACCGCTGCGTGTCCTGGGAACGGCGCGCAGAAGCTCTCCTTGCAATCGACCGGCGGCAAGAGACTGCGTTAGCTTTAGACCTGTCCTATTAGTGCCTTTACCCCCAAAATAACGGAGCAAAACTTCCCAAGGCTACGCGGACGAAGAACCGTGACCGATTTTGCATCTGAGAGCAGGGTGGCAGGAGCACCCCAAGCTCCAGGATGGGCCTCCAGCGCCGGGAATGCCGGTGCTCCGGTGCCGCCGGCTCCTTGGCCGTCTGCTTTCAGTGTGTCGTGCAGCTCTTGACCTGCTCTGGTTTCTCCTCCTTGCAATGCAGGGTAGTTGTGCCATTAGCAGCTTAAAGAATGTGGCAAAGTACATCTAAACAATCCATATTAGTAGAAGTATTCTTGTCAGCAATATGTCTTCATAGCAAACCAGCTTGAAAGCTCAAAGAATAATTGCATTAATCCTATTGCATTTAATCCATTATGCTGAACAAAACCATCTCCTTTAAGAAAGGAATGAAAGGAAAATCCATCCTAACATAGTTCTACATCCGTGTAACTGTCTGAAGAAATCGGATCTCTCTCAGCAAAGGTACCTTTGGTTTCAAAAGTGCAGGAAGTGGGAGAATACACATGGCGTTGTCCACTACGTACTGTTTATTATAAAACTCTACCTTCTACAATGATCCATGCTTTCTCAGCCGGGAGAGCTGCCCAGGCATCCTACTCATGTCGGATGGATCGAAGACCAGCGCTTTAGGGGCGCGGAAGCTGTGGGTGAACAGTATCAGTTTATTAAACTTCATGGGAAGTTTGAAGCTGTGTAAGGCATGTGAAGGAGCACTCCTATCCGAGACGCTTGGTTACAGTGTATTAACAGGTTAATTCAACTTGCATGTTCTTGATATGTAAATAACACAACGGGTGCGAGCGCCGCGTTGCAGCTGTTAGCACGTGGAAGTGTCTCTCAGGCTGATCAATCCAAGGAGGCAAAGGCCACTAAGAAGTTGGGAGGAGACTTTAGCGGAAAACACTGGCCATCTGGCTCGTAGCCCCTTGCTCGGGGAAGATGCCGACACCAGACCCTGCGCCCCAGCCTCTGCAGCCGCGTTTGCATCCTGCTTTCCCGAGGGATGCGTGTCCCGAGCTGCGCGGGAGCCGCAGTGCAGGTTGGCATCAGGAGCTCTCATCCTGATTCGGTGGTTCGGTGGGTTTTTTTGTTTGTTTTTTCTTTTTTTTTAAAAAAAAAAAGCAATTACCGGTCCCTTCAATCTACGTCAATACTGGTCCTGCTTCCGCTCCCTCTTTGCTACATAAGATGTATGGAATTGCCTCTAAAAGAAAGCAGGCGTGGGCTGAGGGCGCTTTTCCCCCAAATTCTTACAAAGCAGAGACTGAAACAGGATGTTGTGCCCGGGATTCTCCAGGTGAGTGATGCTGTTATCCCGGGAAGCGAGCCATCCCCGCCTGGCCATCCTTGCGCCCATCCCAGAAGCTCCTCGGCAACTTATTTTCCTCTAAGGATCCTTCGGAGCGGCTGGGGGGCAGTGGGGTCACCTCCATGCGGATGCGGGAGCCAGTATGGAGGGCCCTGAGGACACGAGGTGCCCAGGGAACCTGCTCCTCCTTCCCGGCTCCTCAGCTTCTGCCCGATCCTTCAGGATCTTTCGGGACGAGGTTTGGGAAAGGTTATGGGAGAGGCGCTGCTGCCAAGAGGAACATCCCCGTAATGCCATCCCGGAGCCGCGGTGCCCTCAGATGGACCCGCATCCCTTCCTTGGGCGCTTCCCTGGAAAGGCCCTGCCTTTCCCAAACTCTTTTCCCCGCTGTTAGCTGGAACCTTCCCGCAAAAAAAGAACTAACCCCCTTCCCAAAAGGACAAGAGGGGCCTTGGGGAGCGGGGTGGCCCTGGGGGTGGTGGCAGCCAGGCCCTGTCCCGGTCCTGCCCC